CTTTTTAGTTGTGTGCACACTCCCTCCTGCAAGTGTTGAATCAGGCTGACGTCTGGCATATTTTCAAACATGCGCACGCAGAAACCGCGGCAGTACTTTTCACTGAAGAGGACGTTAATTCAAAATGAGTTTATTGAAGAAGTGGAAAGTGGACGCTGAAAGCCGAATAGTCAACAAAGAAAGGACTTCTAAATTTTTTTTACCATTGTGGGTGGAAAAGCTGTGTGCTTAATCTGCAAAGAAAGTGTGACAGTGCTCAACTTGAATTGCCATTTTGAGAACAAACATGGTTGCAAATATAAGAATGTTTCTGTCAAAGATAAAGGAAAGAAAGCTGATGAGATGGTTGTTTGAATGCAAAAAGAGCAAAACATTTTCACAAAACAATTTGTGTCCCAGGATGAGATTACAAGAGTGAGTTACGTGATTGCGCACAAAATCTCCAAGAACAGCAAACCATTCTCTGAAGGAGAATTTATAAAAGAATGTATGGTTGACCCTGCCTCAATTTTACGCTCAGACAAGAAAAACCAGATCGAGAACATTATAATATAATAATAATCCTTGCATTTGATATAGCGCTTTTTCACATCTTCTAGACGTCTCAAAGCACTTCATAGAATATACTGTAAAGTGAATTGACCGTATATTTGTGGGCAAAATGCGGCAGCCAATTGCACACAGCAGTGTCCCACAACAGTCATGGATTGAAAATGACCAATTTATTATTGCTTTGTTTTTTGGAGGGATTATCATTAGGCGTGTAGAGTAAGGAAACTTGCCCAAGGTTTCGCCCTGCCTGGAATTGGACCCAGGTGTCTCGCTTTTAAGGCGAGTGCTCTAACCACTGAGCTACAGGACTCCACAAGTATTAACTCAAGGCAGACTATTGTGAGATGTGTCGAGGATATCTCTGAGAACCTGTATCTGCGATTAAAAAATAAAGTAAGCAATTTTACATGTTTTTCACTAGCACTCGATGAGAGTTGTGATGTCAAAGACACAGTCCAGTTGATAATTTTTATTCAAGGTATCACCACACATTTTGAGCTCACAGAAGAATTGGCATCAATACAGTTAATGAAAGAAGGCAACTGGAGAAGACTTTTTGGAGACAGTAAATAAGTGTATCTTAAAATTAGGAGTGGAGTGGAAAAAATTGGTGAATGTGACCACCAATGGAAGCCCAAATCTGACAGGCAAAAATGTTGGGTTACTGAAAAGAATTCAAGATCAAGTCAAAGAAACAAATCCAGAACAGAATATTGTTTTTCTACACTGCATTATCCACCAAGAGGTTCTCTGTAAGAGTGTTCTAAAACTAAGCAATGTCGTGTACACGGTTACGAAAGTGGTCAACTACATAAAAGCAAGAGGATTAAACCACAGGCAATTTGCAACTCTGCTTGAGGAATTGGGAATCCGAGGACACGGATGTTCTGTATCACACGAACATAAAATGGCTTCGTTTAGGAAAGGTCTTGAAGAGTGTGGGAATTGAGAACAGAGACTGATTTATTTTGGGGTATGAAACAAGAAGATTTGGATTTCCCACAGCTGAATGTTGCGAATTGGTGCTCTGATTTTGCATTTGCCATTGATATCATGGGCCACATGAATTAACTGAATTCAAAACTGCAAAGGGTGCCTTTGTGCGCAATTTGTATTGCAGTGTCAAGTCATTTATGACAAAATTATTTATTTTATCACGTCAGATAGGAAACAGGCTGTTTGCCCACTTTCCAACTTTGCAGCAGATTACTGTTTGCGATCAAAGCCTTAAAAAGTATACTTCATCACTTACATGCAGAATTTTCTTGCCGATTCCAGGATTTCAATTTGATCAAAAAGGACCTGTCTTTGGTCTCTTCACCTTTCTCATTTGATGTTGACAATGCCCCATTTGACTTCCAACTCAAGCTTATTGACCTGCAATGTGATCCATTGCTTGCGGAGCAATTCAAATCAGTGCCGCTTTCCAGTTTTTACGCCTCTCTTAATGAATATACCTTTCCAAAAATAAAGGCTCATGCTCGGAGGATGGTTGTGCTGTTTGGATCAACATACATATGCAAGGAGACATTTTCTGTGATGAAGTTCAATAAATCAAAACTTAGATCTGTGATGACTGATGATCACCTTGCAGCAGTACTCCGCATTGCAACAATGGCGACGATGCCTGACGTCAATTGTCTGGTTAACGCACATCAGCACTTTCATTCTTTCCATTGAGTGAGCTTCTCACATTCTTATCAATATGTGAATGAATGAATAAATATCAAATAAATATCTGCTCAATGAGTTGTTTTTATTTAACCTAATGAATGTCAATTATATAGACTTTATTTTATACATGTACAAGTGCAAGACTTGATTTTGAGCTATTATTAAGCATTTGCATCTATATTAAGCGTGTGGCCCGCAAAGCTTACCAAAACTCATGAAGTGGCCCGCCAGCCAAAATAATTGCCCATCCCTGCTCTTGAGGCAGCTGATATTGGTAACAGTTGAGGGCTGTAGCAAGAGGGCTACAATGAGCATTCGATAAGCTGAACCCAGACAAGGACACAAAACAGTGACAATTCTGTATTTATATGTATTTTGTTTATTACCCTTTGCAATTCAGAAGATCTGAGAAAGTGGGCAGAGTGAGGGTTGTGGGCCTGCCAATCAAAAAACAAGGTATGTGTCTGCTTGAAAAGGTTCATCTGAAAATTAGCTGTACAGAGGTTAATTATATAAGGACTTTACAGTCGTTTAAAAATCCAAAATTAAGCTTAGCATATGTAACATAACAATCTGTTCTTGTATAGCATGTATGTTTCATACGAACAACCATCTAAAGATAGGCAGTTAATGTCTTTATGCTTATTTTAGAGATTATGGCAATAAAGCAAAATAGTGACACCCTGTAGTAGACTTTATGATTATGTATTATTTCATAAAATGCTATTTTGTATCCTAAAGACCATACGAAAACATGAGAAAGGGCCAGTCAGCCTATCAAGCCTGTTCCTTCCATAGCTATATAAAATCTACCCACTCAGTTTTTATTAATCCTGCAAGCCTAAGACTATGGGTAAGGTGGTCCTAACTGGATAAGCAGTTGGAAGCTTTCTCGACATTGCTCTCAATGGCAAACTAAGCAGTTTTAGTGGGTTAAACTCCAGCAGTACCTCTACATGCACACTTGGGTCCCCAAGCCTCTGCCTCAATCCCTCCACCTTACCCCCTCTTTATCCGAGCCTGGCTACCAATCCCCCAGAGAATTGAGTTCAAGATCCTCATATTTAAAACCTTACATTGTCTTGTCCACGCTACCTCTAAGACCTTCTAAAACCCTACCAACCCGCACGCTCCCTCCACTTGGCAGGCACTGATCAGCTTCACATCCCCTGCCCTATCTGCCCCACCATTGGAGGTTGGGCCCTTCAGCCTTTCTGCCTCCATTTTCTGGAGCTCCAACCCCAAGTCCCTTCATCTCGCCCCTTCCCTTGCCTCCTTCAAGGTCTGTCTCAAAACATTCCTCTTTGACCATGCCTTCAGTTATCTTCCTTTCCCCACCCTTGAAGAATCGAAACAACTTGGCTATATTTTGTGCCCGCCACGCCGGATGGCGTCTCAGAGTGCTTTACAGTTTAGGATACTGGGACCGAGCCAGGGGGAGGGGGAGGAAGATGACCAAAGGCACGGTCAAAAAGAAAGGTCTTCAGCAGAGACCTAAAAATGGGAAGGGAGGGAGCGAGACGAAGGGAATGAACAGTGAAGGAGTTTGACTCTGAACCGGGGAGAAAGGGGAGGTAATCACAGGTATAGTGGAAGAGGAAAAGTGCGATTTGTTCCAGAGCCTCGTGGCATAGTGGCTGAAGGCACGGCTGCCGAGGGTGGAGCGGAGGCCTCGGGGGACGAGGAGGAGGCCAGATCCGGAGGAACAAAGGCAACGGGTACTGTGCTGAGGAGAGAGGTCAGAGAGGTAGGGGGGTTGCAGAGGAGTGCAGGGACTTGAATACGAGGGTGAGGATCTTGAAATCGATCCTCTCTTGGATAGGGAGTCAGTGCAGTCTGGCAAGGACTGGGGTGATCGGGGAGTGGAGTTTCGGGCGGGTGAGAATGCGGGCGACAGAGGTCTGAATGAGTTGGATTTTATGGATGGTAGTGGAGGGGAGACTGGCGAGAGGGCATTTTAATAGTCCAGTCGAGAGGCGACAAAGGCATAGACCAGAGTTTCAGCAGCTTTTGGGGAGAGGTATTGACGGACCTCAGCTCAGGTGCAAACCCTCAATGTCCAGTGTTTTGGGACGTCCTTCCTATGTGAAAAGTGTTTTGTAAAAGCAATTTGTTTAATCATCTTCAAACCCACTTTTCCTCTTCTACTGTACCTATGATTACCTCCACTTTTTCCCCGGTTCAGAGTCAAACTCCTTCACTGTTCAGTAATCTGAGACAGAATTCAAATTGCTATTATTAAAAAGCCAAGGTGGCATTTACAACTCTCCTATAATCAGGTTCATAATAACTCAAGTGATGAAGATTATTGCAGTGATGCTGATGTCCATCATTACATCACTAAGGTGACCATTTGTCATGTATAAGTTTAGACAGTCAGACCCAATCGCATATTTACATTTTCTAATAGGAGTCACTGGAAGAGACTCTTACCTTCCCTGTTCCAGGTGCACTGAAGCTGCACCGCTGTGGAAAAATAATGCATTAGTGTTGATACCTATGTTGAACTGAGAGAAGTACAGACGAGGAGTCAAACCTACAATTTTCTGATCTGCATGGCATACTACATTGGACTTTGGCTTTAGCAAAACTAAACATATAAATTAAAAGCAAAAAGAAAAATTGCGATGAACTTAGAGAGTTTGTACAAGCATCAGATGACAAACATTTTCTTACATCTTGTTCAAAAGTGCTGCAGGCCATAAAATATCACTTGTTGTGTATTGTATATATTTGTTGTGTGAGAAACAAACAAATGAAACAAACACATGACATAAAGGACAGCACAGTATTTAATAGTGCAAATTGCAATCGTACTTAAGGATATGTAAAGTTTCACATCGTATTTTTACAGAAAGAAAAATCTAACAGGAACTTTCCAAATAGTAATGCCTGAAGAATACAATAGCAGAGGACATTAGGTTACCACGGCAGCTGAACTGGGCATGGTAGTTTAGCCAGCAGTAACGTGTGCAATTTGTTCTTTGCTCTTTGACTACTGCACACATTCAATTCCCTCACGTACTCATTACTCTTTAACAGTTCTCTCAAAGTCTTTGTATATTAAAAGAGATAATGTTGATTTCTGCACTAAGACTTCATTGCTGAATTTATTGCAGCTAAAATTGTTATACTTGCTTGTATCTGTCTAAATTCCGTGCAGCTAATATGGCACAGAAGGGAGGAGAATGTTAAGTCACTTGTCATGCAGGAAAATGTGCTATTTAACAAACACCTTCATCTTCCTTGCAATCATTCTGGGTAGTTCATGAACTCTTAACAAAGACATAGTTTACTCATTGAAAATGGCGATTTAATTATATCGCATGGCAGTCTGTACTCTCGGTTTAAATCACTTGTAATATTAAGCATATTTTAATACAAACTACTACTGATCAACAAATTCCAAAGAATAATAATGAGGCAGCTAATACCTGCCTTGCATAATGCTTTAACTACATTGTAACTTCTCTAGATTATAACAATATTGAACATTACAATCAAAGGATAGTACTACCTGTTGTACACCGAAATACAATTGTAGCAGTTTCTCATTTACATTGATATACTGGCCAGGATTTTTTGAGCTCAAATATTGCAATTCATTCTTTCACCGACTGAATTTATATTGCACACTTTTCATAACATGCATCCATTTCTTGTACATAATAATTTCGAAAAGTATATGTTGCAAGTTACCTGTTACATTATTTACGGAGATATATTTTATGTATTTCAGGGCCGGTCGTGAGCATGTGGAGCAAATGTTTTGAGAATGCTTCATGATCTACCAGGGTAATGTACTTCAACATGTCAGGTAGCAATGTCTTTCAAAGCAGTTTGAATCAAAAGGATTTGTGTGCACTATCTGTAGAAAAAAATAACACAATGAGGGTCTAGGAAATGCTAATTTACAACAGAATCCCTTATAAAGAACTCGAGAAGACTCCTTCTAGTAACTGGAACTAATTGATCCAAAAATACACAAACTCCCAAAGTAGAATGCATTAGAGCAGAGGTCCCTCAGGTCTCTTCTATTAAGAAATCATTGCATATCAGATCCCCAATGTTATGGGGAATCTCTTTTTTCTAACATGATTTGGCTGTGAAGATGGACTGAGTTGGCACTTATTTTTTTGCCTCATTGAAAACAAAGGGAGCCTGGCTGCAGACGTAAATGTTATTCTCCCCAAAGCGTAATGCATTATCCCTGTCATTGCTTTTCATCAGTGCAAGTCAATGCAAATGCAAGTTAATGGGTAATAAATCCTGATCACTAGAAAGCAATACTGCAGAAAAGCTTGAAATGACAACACTTCCTTGAGTGATTAAACAGCTTGATTCTTAGTTCAGTCATTAATTGATCTACCCAAAGTCTTCCAGCTACTTTTAAATTTGGTTAATCAAAGTCCTTCTGACAAACCCATAACAGCTTCTTAGTAAGTTTTACTACACCAATCAATCGAGGAACTCTCCAAACTGGTAAATGTTTAATGAAAGCCCGATGATGTGCATGAAATCATATGTACTGTCATTATTTTTAAAGATATGTCATAGAAGCACACTGCAGTTGCTGTCCAAGCTCACAATAGTGCAAATGTTTCCAACTTGTAAAGATTTGTACTCAATCTCAGGAAATCAGACTTAGTTGTCAATATATCATTTAAAAAGAAAAAAAACAAACTTGCATATTAAATAAAGCACACTTTTAAGATAAGATTTGTGATCAGTTTTCATTCTCCTCTGTGATACCTTGAGGAGTTAACCCCACATTTCCTCCCTCTCCTTGGCACAGGAGTGATTTCCTTGTCTGTTGCTAGGTGGGTACTGGTGTATATATGTGGATAAAGATAGTATTATGGGATCCTTGGGAACTAGACTTGTACTGGCATTGTTTTTCTTCATAGGCAATATCTGACACACCTTAAGTGTTTCAAATATGAAAATAACCTTATACTTATTTTGTAAATGCCACAATTTCTTAGTTCATTTACTTTGAGCAAGATGACACATTTCCAAACTTCTAGGCACCAATTATCACCTATCTGCTGTTTAACTGGAAATGAAACAGCTGCTGTTGTCACTTTGAGTAAGAAACTACAGCCATGGAATACCAATAACACTGTGTTGCTGAACATTATATTTTCATATAATCTTACTGCCCTGACAATTATCAAGCTCCTTGCTAGTTTGTTTATTAAAATACAATTGATCACTCTCTCTCATGCATACTTAGCTCAACTTCACAAATAACCTTCCCTAACTTGTTGCATTTATTTGCATACATGATTTTTTTTAAAAAACACACAAAACTATGAGTTGCCCGGTAGGCCCAGCAAAAGTAGTTACCTATTAAGAACCACAACGAAAAAACAATTTACAGGCACTGAATTCAATCTGCTGACAAACTAACTCTTCAGGACTCATTTACTTTGTGCTTCCAAACCTTGGTTCCAATGACACACCAGGTCAAATTTCAATGCTCAGCCTCTTGGTTAGCTAATTAATTTTTTTTTTAATTAAGCCAAAAACTAAACAGCGTTAAAACAACAAGTTGAGGAAGGCAGGAAAATAACATTTTATTCAAAATAATAAATATAATGAAATAAAAGTTAAAACTAGAAATCATAGAAAGGAAAATGGGGGTCAGGGGAATGGGGTCAGGGGTTGCAAAATAGAGATGGGAGTCAGAGCAGGAATGAGGCTTTAAAATATCTCTTTTGTTAATATTACATATTCCAGTAATATGATGACCTTCAATATCAATGCCATTATTACTGTAATATTAGAATTTTTTTCAGTATTGGGAGCTAAAATTGTAGAAAAATAAAAAGTGGACTTTCCCAGAGCTACTGGAAGTCTAAGTGTTAACCTATCCAAAATGAAGATTACATGTGCAAAATCCTCCCCAATTTAGATTCGAGCCCACTTTTATTTTCATTGTGCGAGGTTGGGACCAATTGGGCCAGATAGTAGGAGGGGCCCAAACATACAGGACATACAGGCTTTCTGATGCCAGGCAGAGGAGGCATGATCAATTCGGAATGAAGAAAGATGAAAAATGGAAAGTAATTTGATTTTAAATTCCTCAGTAAATATTTCAACAGAATGGAACCAAGTTATGAAAATTATTGTACAAATTAAATTATTTATATCCAGCTTTGTCAAAAATATATTTTTTGTGGGGAGGAGAAACCTTTTTAATGAACCTTTTTATATGGGAAAACATCTAAGATCATCTTCCATGGTTTACAAATGGCAAAAAGAGATGATTGATCAAAAAAGTCTGAAGAACCCATGTTACCTTTCAATGGAAGTGAACAAGGTTTGAAGGTTCAATGAACAGCTCTTCCTCATTCCTCTCTGTTCCTTTGCAAAGAGATGTCACAATCTAACAAAAATACACAACTGGCCTTCTGCCAATCTTGATCCAGACACAAAGGTCTCAATTCAGGAAAGTGGTGCTTATTTAGTTTAACTTTTAGCACTGAGAAAGAAAAATGTCAACATTGACAGGTATTTCCTTTAAATATGACAATTGATATGGTTCTGGATTATTTGTTTAAATGGGCAATGTTTGAAATCAAAGCTCTAAGTAAATATATCACTGGCACATATCACAATAATCCATTTGATATTTTTACACAGCATGACTTAGTTTATGACTCACAAAATGATACTTCAGAAAATAAACAAGAACTAAGTTTGAACAAAAGAATCAGGAATCAATGAAGGAAGTTAACTAATACAGCTGCTACTCAGAAAACAAACATCCTAAGAAATATTCGGAGACCGAGGCAACACAATTATTCCATGCCTTCACTTGGTGTTGTTTGTATTCTGAAAAAGAAAGAAAAGTGGAGGTAAAAATGATAACAACAAGATTATATTTGTATAGCACTTTTCACGTCAGGAGGACATCCCATAAATCCTTACATTTGGTAGAGTGCTTTTCAAATCGAGCACTTCATAAGATATACTGTGTTTTGTTTGTGAACATTGACATTAATACAAGCAGCGATCTTTGCATTGTGCAATGTACTTTATTTTCCTTATTTCCACAATTAGGATGAGGGGGCAGAAGTAGTACAACTTAACTAACTGCAACTCAGGCTTGTCAGGTAACCAAACGTATCAGGTTGTAATAATCACAAAATGTAACTTTACCAAGTCCTAACATTGTGGCAGCATAAATGTATAGCAGTGTTCTTGTTTACAGCAATGTTAGGTATGGACTATTCATACTTGGCCCCATCCTCAATCGAACCCCAGACCAATCCTACAAACACTCAGCACTCCTTTCCCCAACTCTAATGGTTTATCAAAGTGTGTAAAGTGAATTAAGAACAATTTCTGCCATGTATGTTTTACAAGGGGAATAACATACACTAAGGATTGTTGAGAAACAAATTTTGACAATTAATAAATCTTCATTCCAAAAATTCAGTAAATCAAGCTCTGGTCTCGGGGTGGGGGGTGGGCTGGGAATGAGAAGGCATCCCCATTAGTTGATAAATTTGCCATTGTATATTTGCATGAAGGTTTCCAGGACCCTGGGAGATGCTCCCTTCACGTTTTGAACAGTGTGGCATCTTCAACAACGACTTGAACAGACAGATGGGACTGCTGTTTCATGCAAAGCTTTGACAATCCAGAAGTCCCCCTCAGCAGTGTATTGGTGTGTACATCTAAACTATGTGCGCTCAAAGTTCCAACCTGAGGCTTGAACCAAAAGCCTTGTGACAGAGCCGGAGTCCCGGAGTGATCAGTAAGGGATACATAGTTAATATATATCACACACATTATTTAATTAGGTTGTGTGAGTGCTTCAAATAATAGAGATTTTATTGCATCAAATGCTAAATCTAGAAGATGAGGTTAGTTGTGCTGGCATATTTTGATGCTTAGCTCTCGTTACTAACCTGCTGTGTGTTTAGATTGTTTGACATCCCTCAGTTCTGAATGGAAGAGGGATCAGCCAGATCAGTCCAAAATAAGGAAGAATATCAAATAGCTTTCAGAGATTTTGCTAGATTGCTTTGGTATAGGTTCTAGTGAAAGGTAGAATATACACATACCACTACCAAAAGGTAGAATATTTATTGAAGAATAATCATCTCTGCTTACTATGATGGCAACACTGCTCCTGCTGCAATCTGCAGGGCTATACTGAATCACAATATAGGCATAATTTACTCAAAGCATTTGACTTCTTGATATTTAGAATGGAAATTTAGACTTCTTCTGAATGAAAGAGGGCTAAAGCCTGAATTTTAAAAAGTTGGGAGTATCATAACCCCAAATCCTTCTTCCCAAACAAAAGACACAGCAGAACACAACACACCACTGCACAATCACAGAGAGTGACCACAAGGTCCTGCAGGTCATTTATTCCAATTACAATGTGCTCTTACTCTTGTTCATTTGAAGGTGCTTCTGGATCACTTTGCAGGCTGCTAACTCTGTCGGTAAGCAGAAAGAAGAAAAAAAGAACAGAAAAACAATGAGTACTTGTGATTTGCTATTGAAGTATATTTCCCATTATAAAGATCTATTGAAAAAACACAAGTGTCATTTGAATAATGAAGAATCAAAAATAATGGCAGAGAAGCATTGGAAACAATGGGGTCAAAGCAATAATCATTTGATAGGCCTAGATATTACAACTTGGTGACATCGACTTCCCCTTAACCCCCCCCACCCCCACGAGACACGATCCTGCTTGAGGGGTGCTATATAAATGCTTGCTGTTGTTTTGTGGGAAATTGTGTTGGATCCCATTAAAAGTGAGACTCTGCATCTATAAATACGTGAGAGGTTGCTTTCTAAATATCAGGATGACAAAAAAAATGTTTAGGAAATGCAGTATGTGATAATTAAAACAAGAACATAAAACACAGTTAAAACTAGTTCTGTACCTCTCCTCCCACACTGCCACCACCACAGGGGAATTGGCAGAATAGCTTCACCAAGAAAATTCAGAATAGGTCATTTTTATCATTAGCAAGTGATTGTTTGCTCCCATGGGAGCAGCAATTATTTTCTGCTTCACCAGATACTGGTTAAAAATTAAACCTGGAAGTATAGGAATTAACAATGGGTGCTGCTGAATGCAAAAGCAGAACAATAATGGCACAATAATGGCACATGAAGGATGTCACCGCCGGGCTGGAGATAAATTTGAGGCACGAGGGAGAGGGTCCAATCGTAATGGTACATATAGGGACCAATGACATTGGTAGGACAAGTAGGGACGAGTTAAGGAGCGAGTTCCGGGAATTCGGAATTAAACTAAGGAATAGAACTTCCAAAGTGATGATATCGGGACTGTTACCTGAGCCAGGAGCTAATTGGTACAGGCAAAAGAAGATAATAGATCTGAATGCCTGGCTAAAAGAGTGGTGCGGAGAGCAGGAATTCCAATTCATGGGCCACTGGCACGAGTATTGGGGAAGATGGGAGCTTTTTCAAAGGAATGGGCTCCACCTAAATAGGGCTGGGACAAATGTCCTGGCTACGCGAATAAATAGGGAGGTAGAAAGGGCTTTAAACTACTAAGGGGGGGGTGGGGGGGGAGATAAAAACATAGTAAAGTATAGTCCACCACAGTTAAACTTGAGATCAACAAAAGCAAGGGAGCAGATTAACAAGGGAGAAGAGCAAAGTGTGTCAAGCAGGGAAAGGAAGTACAGTGATAGAGTGCTGGTGAATAGGGTTAATAGCCGGAAGTCAGAATTAAGGGCGCTATATCTGAATGCACGAAGCATTCGTAACAAGATAGATGAATTAGTTGCACAAATAGAGACAAACCGGTATGATCTAGTAGCCATCACCGAGACATGGTTACAGGGTGATCAGGGATGGGAACTGAATATTCCCGGCTACGTGGTATATAGGAAAGATAGGCGATGTGGTAAACGAGGAGGGGGAGTGGCCCTGCTAATAAAGGATGGGATAAAAACAGTAGAGAGGAAAGATTTTAAATCTGAAAAGCAAGATGTAGAGTCAGTATGGGTAGAGATACGTAACTTCAAGGGGCAGAAAACTATAGTGGGAGTAGTTTATAGACCCCCAAACAGTGGTCAAAGTATCGCTCAAGGTATAAATCAAGAGATTAGTGGAGCATGTAGCAAAGGAAAGACACTAATTGTGGGTGATTTTAACCTGCACATAGACTGGGACAACCAAATTGGGAAAGGTAACATAGAAGAGGAGTTTATAGAATGTATTAGAGATAATTTTCTAGATCAATATGCTGAGGAGCCGACCAGGGAACAAGCCATATTAGACCTTGTTTTGTGTAATGAAACAGGGCTGATCAGCAAACTGGAACTTAAGGCTCCTCTAGGGCAAAGCGATCATAATATGATGGAATTTAGCGTTAAGTTAGAGAGGGAAGTAGTTAAGTCTGAAGCAAAAGTCTTCAATTTAAATCGAGCCAACTTTGCTGGTATGAGAGAGGATTTAGCCAGAATAAACTGGGAGACTAAACTTAAAGATTTGACGGTAGACCAGCAATGGCAGACATTCAAGGAGATAGTGCAAAATTCCCAACGAGCACATATTCCTTTGAGGAATAAGAATGCCATGGGAAAGGTGGTGCAGCCATGGCTAACTAGAGCAGTTAGGGAAAGTATCAAATCAAAAGAAAAAGCCTATAAAACAGCGAAGATGAGTAGTAAACCCGAGGATTGGGAGAACTTTAGGGAACAACAGAGGAGGACCAAAAAATTGATCAAGAGGGAGAAAATAGATTACGAGGGCAAACTAGCAAAGAACATAAAAACAGACTCCAAGAGTTTTTACAAATATATAAAGAGGAAAAGGCTAGCGAGGGTGAATGTGGGTCCATTACAGGCAGAGACCGGAGGAATTATAATAGGGGACAAAGACATGGCAGAGTCATTAAACAAGTATTTTTCTACAGTCTTCACCGTAGAAGACACTGGAAACATACCAAAAATAGAGGACCAAGAAGACAATGTTAGCGAGCAACTTAGGGAGATTAACATTAGTAAAGAGATGGTTCTAGGTAAATTGTCGGGTCTTAAAACCGATAAATCCCCTGGACCGGATGGCCTGCATCCGAGAGTTTTAAAGGAGGTGGCTACTGAGATAGTGGATGGCATGTCTATAATCTTCCAAAAGTCTGTGGATACTGGAAAAGTTCCCATTGATTGGAAGATTGCAAACGTAACTCCACTATTTAAGAAGGGTGGGAGAGAAAATAGGGAAAACTATAGACCAGTTAGTTTGACGTCAGTTGTAGGGAAAATTCTTGAGTCCTTAATAAAAGACGTAGTTATGGGATACCTGGAAGACCATAAAAAGATTAGGCAGAGTCAACATGGCTTTACAAAAGGGAAGTCATGCTTGACTAACCTTTTAGAATTTTTTGAGGATGTATCCAGCAGGTTGGATAAGGGGGAACCAGTAGATGTGGTATATTTGGATTTTAGGAAGGCATTTGACAAGGTGCCACACAAAAGGCTGTTACTCAAGATCAAGGCCCACGGGATTAATGGGAAAATATTAACATGGATAGAAGAGTGGCTATCGGGTAGAAAGCAGAGAGTAGTGATAAACGGATCATTCTCGAATTGGCAGGATGTAACTAGTGGAGTGCCACAAGGATCAGTGCTTGGGCCTCAGCTATTTACCATTTACATCAATGATCTGGACGAGGACATTGAATGTAATGTGTCTAAATTCGCGGATGATACTAAACTAGGTAGCAGAGTGAGCTCTCAGGATGATGCAAAAAGATTGCAACAAGATATAGATAGGCTAGGGGAGTGGGCAAGTAGGTGGCAGATGGAATTCAATGTTAGCAAGTGTGAAATTATTCACCTAGGTAGCAAGAATAAAAGAACAGATTATTTTCTGGAAGGGGAGAAGTTAGATAGTGTTAGTATTCAAAGGGATTTGGGTGTCCTTGTACACCAGTCCCAAAAAGTTAGTTTGCAGGTGCAGCAAGCAACTTAAAGGCGAACGGCATGTTAGCGTTCATTTCGAAAGGTTTAGAATATAAGAGTAGGGAAGTCTTGCTGCAACTGTATAGGGCTTTGGTGAGACCGCACCTAGAGTATTGTGTGCAGTTTTGGTCTCCTTATTTAAAACAGGAGATACTTGCCCTAGAGGGGGTGCAGCGTAGATTCACTCGGTTAGTTCCTGGGATGAGGGGACTGACCTATGAGGATAGGCTGAATAAACTAGGGCTGTATTCTCTAGAGTACAGAAGAATTAGGGGGGATCTTATTGAAACTTATAAGATTCTTAAAGGGCTGGATAAAGTAGACACAGAGGGACTGTTTCCCCTGGTAGGAGAATCTAGAACCAGGGGTCACAGTCTTAAAATTAAGGGTCAGCCTCTTAGAACAGAGTTGAGGAAACATTTCTTCACTCAGAGGGTAGTGAACTTATGGAATTCACTACCCCAGAAGGCTGTAGATGCTCAGTCCTTGAACATTTTCAAGGCTGAGACTGATAGATTCTTGAAAAATAGAGGGATTAGGGGATATGGGGATAGGGCAGGTAATCAGAGTTAGGTGAGAAGTTCAGCCATGATCTTATTGAATGGTGGAGCAGGCACGAAGGGCCGAATGGCCTACTCCTGCTCCTAATTCTTATGTTCTTATGTTCTTATTTCACTGACAGCAAAGGACATGGCAGAACAATGGATTCGATAAGGTATTGTAATTGGGAAAAGTAATCAACTGGTTTGTTTTCAACCAGTGTGATTTGTGCATGTAATGGATGACCGGGCTAGCTACATGCTACTTTTAGTGTCTCTTACTGAAAAAGTGCATTGTTTTGCAATACATTCAGAATGTAACAGGTTTAATGATAAATCTATGAGATGACAAGAGTCTCATGCTGGATTAATGATTTGGCTTACTTTGCTGAGTCGGATGACTCCTTTAATTCTTCATCCAGTCTGCAGAGGCAAAAACACGTGAACAATAATAATTTCTTTAAAAAAATAGAAATTCAAGACAAATTTCATAGCAAAGCAAGGCCATTATGTTGGCATGCTACTTAGCCTATAATGAAATTTAATAGATTTCTAGATTTTTTTAACATTGTCCCAGCATAAATAACCTGATGCTCTTGATACCCTCAATTGTCAATTTGAGCTAATGGGGGTCTATTTTGCTCTCTGAAAGGAAACCATGAGTTAAGAGCAGAAATGTAAAATGGAAATATACAGGCTACAAAATAAACCACTAAAGGCTGTTTAATGCTGGTGTTTGGGGTTGCTATCTTTAACAAAGGTCTGTCAACCAATAGAAATTCAGGTATGATCCACACTCAGTAACAACAGTGTTAACAGGATTTCATCAGTAATGGACTGGCTAATACAAATGTTGCTCAACACAGGCTGTGGTTTCTCCAATAAACCAATGAGAGCAGGAAGCAATGCAATGCCATGTTGAAAGAGCAAATATGTTGCATCAGAAATACTGAATGGTACATGAACAGAAATAACTCTGAAAGTTACAAATGCACAGTTCAATACACCTATCCTGAGTAAATAAAGGGACAGCAGGGACAGTGATAGTAACTCCAAATTCCATAATATATATAATTTTTTAAAATCAGTCTGATGTTAGGATATGTGCTGTCCACAGAATTACCAGTTCCACCGTAGTCTGCAATGAAAGGATTACACCCACACGTGTAGTACAGTAGAATCAGTGCTTTGTACATTGCAACTGGTGAACCTCTGAGAATCTTTGAAGTTACAGCACCAAAATAGACCTTCAGCCAAACAAATCTGGCTAACATTTTTCTCAAAGGGTACTTCTTCCAACATGACAAGAGTTCTACATAGAAGTGGCATTCGTCATGAATCTACGAACTTCATATAGTTGGTTGCTGGATCCAGATGCCGTATGCATACCAAGGTCCCTTCAGGTATATTCCAGCTGCCTATTGTTACTCTGCTGGAAATGTTGCAGCATTGTGGAAGTCGGTCTGAGTGCTTTTGATTAGTAAAATGCAACATATCTTCTCTTTTTAGCTACCTTGTATAATCGATATCCTCGATTATTATCTACTAGTTCTGCATTATCATCACCCTTTGAGCACAGATTTATCATAACATGACCTATTTTTAAAGTGCAGCACAGCAGTTGTGAACACTCAAGTGGATCAAAACTTCTCACGTTCTTAGAACCACTGTCCATTGAAGATCTTGTGGTAATTTGAAAAAACCTTAAATTCAGTCTTAATTTGGAGGCCCATTTATCTCAGTACTGAAAAGAACTCCAAATATTTCGCTTCCAAATTAAGAGAGACAATTTGAATCTACTTCCCAAAATTCTACAAGATTGTAGATTTTGAGACAATCATCTTGACCAATGTACATGAGAAATTTTGGACCATATAAGTGCAGATATTATGCAGCCAAGTGCCGTAGACAAGAGGAATATGGTGGAAGAGTGGACTTCAGCTTAACCATTGCCCGTCTCTGCCAATACCTCTCTCCGAAAGCCGCTGAAACCCTGGTGTCTTTGTCACCTCTCGGCTGGACTATACTAACGCCCTCATCGCTGGTCTCCCATCCACTACCATCCATAAAATCCAGATCATTCAAAACTCTGCCGCCCGCATTCTCACCGCACCAAACTCCGCTCCCCGATCACCTCAGTCCGTGCCAGACTGCACTGGCTGCCTATCCCAGAGAGGATAGACTTCAAGATCCTCACTCTTGCATTCAAATCCCTCTATTCCTCTGCACCCTCCTACCTCTCTGACCTCCTCTCTCCTCAAAACTGCACCCGTTGCCTTCATTCCTCCGGGTCTGGCCTCCTCCTTGTTCCCCGATTCCTCTGTTCCACCCTCAGCGGCCGTGCCTTCAGCCACTATGCCCCGAAGCTCTGGAATTCCCTTCCTCATTCCCTTCACCTCGCCCCCTCTCTTCCTATTTCCAGGTCCCTGCTGAAGACTTTTCTTTTTGACCGCGCCTTTGGTCACCTTCCTCCCCCTCCCCCTGGCTCAGCCTTGGGATCTATTACTGTGAAGTGCTCTGAGACGCCGTCCAGCGTGGAGGGCGCTTTATAAATCCAAGTTGTTATTGTTGTTGGGTGTCGTTTTTCTAATTGGTGTTTCTTTTCAGAACCATAGGTACTTAGTAGACTTGATATATGCAAAAATCTCAAGAAGCATGAATTGCTTGCTGTAACTGGGTGCAATATCTTCATGATTTAACTCAAAACAATTCTTGTCCAGTGCCTTCAAGCAACTAGATGAATTATCACCACTGGATGATGCATCAGATAGAAATATATGGAGCACATTATTTTTAGGAGCAATCTAGCCAAATAAAGTTGTATGTTTTATGAGCAAAATATACACTATCTGGCAGACGACTGTAGCTTCATAATGTTCAAATTGTCACGACCTCCTGTTTCATTAAACAGCCTTGCAAGTCATGTTTTCAACACTTCATTTCAAATACTTTTTGTGTCTCGTCATCAGTAGGAATTCCATAAGCTCAAAATATTTTGTATTTTGACCCAACTGTGCAGCGCCTTGGGACGTCCTCCTGACGTGAAAGGCGCTTTATAAATGGAATCTTGTTGTTGTTGTTGTTGTATAGATTTCACATTGTGCCCTTCATGTCTCTACTCCCAGATTTTGGGTTTCTATCCTTCAGAGCCTTTATTATCTTTATAAAATACAATCACAGAGGTCCCAAAGCAGAACCCTGTGGCATTTTACCAGCCGGATGACATTCCATATACCACCACCTTCTGGGTTTTATCGGTCAGCCAATTACGTATCCATTGCAAGATAATTCCTCTGATTCCCACTTTCTTTATTTTCCATACCAGCCTTTCATGAAGAACTGTATCAAAGGCCTTACAACATCCACTGCCTTACCCTTATCAGGCTCCTTTGTCATACAATCAAAGAAAAACAGTAAATTAGTTTGGCAGGATTTCCCCTTCGTAAACCTATATTGGCTATCTTTTATTATTTCATTATTATCCAGATGCTCCATGATCTTATTTTTTTAATAAGAGTCTCCCTAACTTTACTCACAATGGATGTCAAACTCACTGGTCTGTAGTTTCCTGGGAAACTTTGGCTACCTTTTTTTTAAAAAAAATGGAGTAACATCTGGATTTGTTTGCCTTAAGTTTACAAAGTTGTTCAGCAACCATCCTGGTAGTGATATGTATAGTGTCACAACTTGCCTCTGCAACATCACTGAATTCTCTTTCCAGATCCAATACATTTCACATCTCCTCTTTTCTAAAAACTGAGGCAAAAAACGGATTTAGTACTTCGGCAGCTGGTGTAGCATCATTTGCCATATCCTCACCTGATCCCACCTTCAATGGCCCTATTCCATCATTCGTTTTTTCTTTTCCCTTAATCTCTGAAAAACGTTTTATTGTTAGCCTTCACGTCTCTTGCCATGTTCATTTCAAAAGTTTTCTTTGGCATTCTGATACCTTTGTCACAATCCTGGCATGCCTTCTGGTAATGAGTCTGTCTTTCCTCTATGCCATTTCCTTTCAAGGCGTTAAATGCCTTTTTTTCCTCTTTTATAAGTTGTTTTGTGGCCCCTTCCAACCAGGCAGGAATACCCTTAAGCTTGGTACCTTTGCTTTGCATGGGTACGCATTGGTCCAGTGCATTCCAAATTCACCCACTGAATGAACTCCATAGTTCCTCTGCTCCCTTAGTCATGTTTAAGCCTGCCAGGCCCACTCTGACAAGACGTCTCAATCACATAAAATTGATCTTCTTAAAATTTTGTTTCTGTTTTTATAACCTCACTAATCCATGTAATAAATGTGATAACAGTATGACCATTGTTGCTTAAACCCACACTCACCTTTGTGTTGGAGATTTGATCATCCCTGTTACTCATAACCAAATCCAAAATTTTATTGCCTCTTGTTGGCTCCTTTATAAATTGAGTTATAAAAAACTCCTCCTTTAACTCTAAAAATCCTTCCGTATCTTACCAGTAAACACATTTTTATCCCAATCAATTTGTGATAAGTTAAAATATCCAACTACTATGGTTGAACCCTTGCTAGTCGCCTTCCTTACCTCATCCCACAATTACAAATCAAAGTTATCACCTTGGCCTGGTGGTCTATAGCAAACTTCCAATAATAGTTTACCTCTGTTGCCATTTATTAATTCTACCCAAACTGATTTTGTGGCTGCCCTTCCTTTTTTTATATACTCTCATTTGTGCCTCAATACTGCAGTTCATATATACTGCCACAACAGCTCCTCTTCTCCTGATACAGTCCCTCCTAAACAGTGTGAATCCTTCCAGACTTGTATCCCATTGATTGGAATCATTCCACCATGACTCTGTGATGCTATTGATATCCAATCTGTCGCCCCTTGCAAGACCTTCCAGGTCACACATCTTGTTGGCATTAATGCAAGCACAACTCTATTGTATGTTATTAACATAATTATTTTCCTTATCTCCCACCAATATTATATTTTGGTGTATGTTTCCACTGGTATACTTCAAGGTTTCCCCTAATCAGTTTGGGTGCCTAATCAGTTACACCTACCACACTCTGTATCTAGTTTAAACACTTCCTTACCATACTATCTATCCTGCCTGCCAACACCTCCACCCACCTTTTGTTCAGATGGAGACCATCTGCTCTGTAGAGGTGCACCCTATTCCAAAAATGCATCACTATCTGATGAACCTAAAACCTGATTCCCTACAACAATGTCTTAGCCATGCATTGGTCTTCCATATTACCCTCTGTCTCTCCTCACTAGCACGTGGTATGGGGAGTACTTCCGAAAAAACTGCATTTGAGGTCTTTCCCATAAGCTTCCTTCCTATTGCCTTGAATTTAGCATGTACGATTTCTGGTCTACTTATATCTACGTAATTTCTTCCCACATGAACAACCGCAATTGGTTCCTCACCTGCTCCCTCGAGCATTTTGTCAACCTGGGACGTCAGATCCTCAACCGGTGCACATAGGAGGCAACTTACCATTTGATTTTCTGGGTTTGGTTTGCACAGAATTGTGTCCGAATAATCGAATTCCCTAACAACATGACTTGTCTGATTTTCTTTCTCTTTTCCCTTCCTTCTCTGATAGGCTGCTGGATGCTCTTGGGATATGGCATAACCTTGCCCGTCTCAGCCAGCCCTTGGGTTTCCACATCATCTCTCTCCAGAGGAGAGAAACTGTTTGAGAGCACCAGAGATGCCTTTTCCTGCCTTAATGCCTGATCACAACTTCCGGAGCATTTTCTAACAGAGAACCCCCCACCTCTTCTAGGTTACAGGGACTCCTCTCCTATTCTGCCCCCTTACTCTGTGTGGTCTCCTCTAATACCTCATTTATAAAAATCCCATCCTCCCTAATACTTAGTGAGCTACTGGCCACTCATCAAAGACTGACCACTTCAACCTTGAGTGCATCGACCAGTTTGCAGTTGTTACAAATGAATCCCTCCACAACCTGGGCCCGGAAGGCAAACATCTCACAACTTCTGCATAAAGTATTCCATTTTCATTGAAGTTTACTTTAAACAGAGCTGGCTAAGTTTTCTCAGCTGCTTCTTATTAATTCCTATTGATTCCTATTTCTATTTTTCTGCTTATTTTTATATAAGCCTTGCCAGACTGCACTGGCTGCCTATCCCAGAGAGGATCGACTTCAAGATCCTCACCGTGTATTCAAATCCCTCCACTCCTCTGCACCCCCCTACCTCTCTGACCTCCTCTCTCCTCAAAACAGTACCCATTGCCTCTGTTCCTCCGGGTCTGGCCTCCTCCTCGTCCCCCGAATCCTCCGCTCCACCCTCGGCGGCCGTGCCTTCAGCCATTATGCCCCGAGGCTCTGGAATTCCCTTCCTCACTCCCTTCATCTCACTCCCCCTCTTCCTATTTTCAGATCCCTGCTGAAGACCTTTCTCTTCAACCACTCCTTTGGTCACCTTCCTCCCCCTTCCCCTGGCTCGGGATCCGTTACTGTAAAGCGCTCTGAGACGCTGTCCGGCATGGAGGGGGCTATATAAATCCAAGTTGTTGTTGTTGTATAAGCACCTCCTTCATCCTCTGTACTGAATCCCCGCTCTCACCAAATTCCTTCACTAAAGATTCACTGTGTTCCCACCTTACTCCATTCACAACTCAATCCATTGGGCTCTCTGCTCCTTTAATTCGGAGAATTACTGGACACCGGTACCACTTCTGCACCATAAAAACCTGCCAGGAATTTAATGCACTGCTTTATAAATTCATTTAACTGCAATGATGCCTCCATAAAGCAGAACGAAGGTAGCAAAATGGACCCCCAATATTCTGTGTGCAGAAAAAACAAATGTCTTAAGAACAGCACTAAGCAAGGCAATTTTTCAGGAACCGCATGCTTGTTATAGAAAGCTGAAAAGCACTGCGGCCTTTTCATACATTGTTAATTTTCAGCATGATGTAACCTGGCAAAAGCAAAGGACATTCTTTCTCGGTTAGAAAACGATAACGTGCCGCGATTTAATGCTAGATTAAAAAGGTTGACCTCAACAGCCCTGAATCAACAAAGGGAAAAAACAGCCAATAAAAGCAAATATAGTTCCTGTGGTTACTATTAAGGTCAGCGAAAGGGTTAGTTATCTGTAGAGGAAAGACCAGCAACATGGTTTGAAATACCGTTATTTACCTTGTGTTTCTTTTTAGACACTTTCTCTCTTCATACCTTGTAGGAAACAAGTTATTAAAGCAGTTAGGAATCAGCAAAACTCAGTCACAAAAGATAGTCAGTCAGGTGAAATCACCTTTCAGACATCCTTGGCAGTGAATAAACCTATTTACAAAACCTACAGTAGCTACCTGCTTAAACACAGATTCTGTAGTCTTACACATTAAGTAGTTGCAGAATGTTTCACTAGATTAGGAGACATCCACTATTCTGTATTAACAGTGTTCGGATGCAAGTGTGTCTGTACTATTAGTGCTGGAGAGCAAGCATATCAGTAAAATCATCATTAATAATAATTCTTGTATTTGGTACAGTGCCTTATCAAGTTGGAAAGATGTCTCAAAGCGCTTCACAGGATTTACTGTGAAATGGAATGACTGTGTATTTGTAGGCAAAAACAGCACCACAATTGCACACAACGTCCCATAAAACAAATGACCAATTTTATTTGGGATATTATTAATTATAATAATCCTTGCATTTGATATAGCGCCTTATCACATCTTCGGGACGTCTCAAAGTGCTTCACAGAATATACTGTGAAGTGAATTGGCTGTATATTGTATGGGCGAAACAGAGTTGTTGTCTACTAAATCTTTATGACAGGAAAAGTTTCAGTTGTTCAACAGAATCAGTTTTCAAAACCATTTTGCTTTATTACCTCTCACCCTACATTTGAAAACGTCCAAAAACATCTCTCCTCAACCACGCCTTTGGTCAAATTTATTAAATCTCTCAGTGTCATTTATCTACCACTACTTAAAGAGGTTAGAAAAAAACATTTCAGAGAGGGTGACTGAAATGTGGAATTCTTAGTCACAGATTGTTATTGAAACAGAGTTTGTGAATTATTTTGGAAACAAATTTGATAGATGTTGGAAAAAGAGCAATTTTACAGGGTGTGGGAATCGAGCAGAAATCAGATCAGGCGAGTCGTGTGCGGTACAGATTTAATGAGCCAAATGGACTGGAACATTCTATGATTCCACGAAGTTATAATTGTAGTTAGCTGTTAGGATTTATGGGATCAGGAGAAATGGAGTATCCCCACTTAGCACCGACCTTTGGAACATTAATCTTTACTGGCCGATCCGAGGTTCACAAGGGAACTCAGTTGTATTACAACTGCCCACATACAGCACCACAGGTAGGAAAGCAACAGGCTGGGAAAAGCTGCCTGACTAGATGTTCCTGGACTTGGATTAGGAGAGACTGTGACCAGGATACCAGTGAGCTGCAGCAATTAGCCAGGATCAAAGGCCAAAGACAGATGTAGTAGTCAGAGGTCCCAATAAGAAAGAAGAATTATATTCAGATAGCCAATTCTGATAATCACCGGTTTAAAACAATCAGGTGTTTAAATTATTCCACTCAGTAAAATAAATATTTAATTGATTAAGTTAAGCAACTGTTTCGTTATTTTAAAGAACTCATTTTTTTATTGAATCGATTTCCCTGCTCCACTTAGTGAATCAAGTGTCCTTGCATGTTTGTTAAATACTTATCTATTAATTTATTCCAGTCAGGAAACTGATTGAATACTCAGGGGAGTTGTTCATGAATTTATTCTTCTATTCAACCAGACAATTATTGTGAACTGATTATTAATTGATCTATTCAGCCAGCGATTCAATCATTTATTTATTTATTCATGCATTTATTATTCATTGATTCCTTTAAGGTTGCCAATTGATACGTTAAGTTGTCCTGAAATGCACTCAGTAATTGTGTTATATAACTTTTGCATTCATAACATATTTATTAATTAAATTACACCAATTCTGGCTGCCAGAGTTTGTCAAGGGCACTTAGTGGAAGTAGGGAAGGAGGTCCTAAGATTAAAATTTGGATACCACTTAGTTCCATGAGCTGAATCTATGATGTTAATGGCAATCTTAAGAGTATGGACCTTTTGTTGGCTGCAAAGAGTCTTCAAAACTGATTTTATGGCAGTAAAACACGTCTGCTCAATACTTGGTCAGAGCAGAAAGTCAGAAGAAAGGTAACAGATTTCAAACTGCAAAGAAAACAAGAAAAAACAAATGATATTTAAAGAGAGAGAAAGCTAGGTGAGAAAAAGGTCGAAATAAGTAAAAGTAAAATGTTTGGCACCGTACTTGTACTCTATGCGAAGAGTCCTATTCAAATGCAAGCTGTTGTTTTGAAGTAAAAGTAGAGTGGTAATAAACAAGGAGAAAATAGAAGAAAAAAAGGGCAAACAAGAATAGAATCGTAATAATAATCCTTTTCACATCTTATAGATGTCTCAAAGCGCTTCACAGAATATACTGTAAATTGTATTGACTGTATATTTTGTGGGCGAAACGCGACAGTCAATTGTGCACAGCAGTGTCTCACAAACAGTCATGGACTGAGTGACCAAATTAATATTGTTTTTTTTTCTTGAGGGAATATTATCAGGAGTGTGGCATAAGGAAACTTGCCCAAGGTTTCGCCCTGCTTGGAATTGAACCCAGGTCTCTCATTTGCGAGGTGAGTGCTCCAACCACTGAGCTACAAGACTCCTAAGATGGGATGGTTTTGGTTAACTGGGTGTCTGACACATGCAGAAACTCGTCACAATGCTTAAGAGTATTCAAACTAGACAGAGTTCAACATATATATGCCCCCTAAACTTGGAGATTTCAATTGAACATTTCTGATTTGTGTTTTTAATATTATTTTAGTAGTTTTGGATTGATATTATGCTTCAGCAGCTTTACTTCTGCTATATAATTGTTTCAGGGTCACAACAAGTGAGATGTAAACACTCAGATCTGTTGGCCCATCTAGACCTGCCATCAGTCTAAATATTAATGCATGAGCCCACAATTAATTGGAACCACATAGTCTGAGGTAAGCTGACACTCCAATGTGGTGCAAGAGGGATGTTGCATTGTTGGAGGTGCAGTCCTTCAGATGAGATGTTAAACTGAGGCTACACCTATCTGTTCAGGTGGTTGATAAAGATTCCATGGCATGACTTGAAAAGAGAAGTGAGTTTCTCCCAGTGTTCTGGCCAAGAAATCCCCCAAACAAAATTGGTCACTCACTCCATGGCTATTTGTGAGACATTACTGTGAGCAACTCGCTGCAGTATTTCTCCCAAAAGATACAAAGCCAATCCACTTTACAGTATATCCTGTGAAGTACTTTGAGACATCTTGACAACGTGAACAGGCTCTATATCAAATGCAAGGATTATTATTATTATTATCTAGTTCCACTGGCACAGTCTCAAAGTGGGACTATTTTGAATATTTCTATGTACTTTGAGTCTGCTCATGGAGCCAGAAATATTGGTGCCAATGGAACCATCATATAAACCCAGCCTAAAGCTTCAGCAGAGAAGGAAGCTGTTCTGATGAATGGTTAGGCACAAAAAGTTGGAAAATAGAATGGCTTTCCCAATGAAGACTGAATTTTAAAATTCTGCAATTTTGTATCACCTTAAATTCTAGGACAAAGTGAGCTAAGACTGGATGAAATTGCAGACCCTAAAAATTCAGTCAGTGTGGAAACTGTTTTTTCTCAATTGTTTTTTTTAAAGGCTGGATTTAAGAATTTTCCATAATTTTGCTCAATTTTAAATCGTAAGACTTTAAAGCTCTGAAGAACTTTATCAAATGTCTCTTGAATTTTCTTTAAAATGCCATTGTATATTACAGCACTGCATTTTCAATATCTGCTGTACATTATAGCGCTATTGTTGAAGCCAGGCCTAGAGCAACGCTGTAATGTAAAGCAGGCATTAGATGTGAACAAGAATTTTTTCCCCCCAAAAGCAAGCCTGTAATAAAAATGCAAAAAGATACCAGGATGTTCAGGACATAGATGCTAGGAGGAAATTGTTTCAATGAAATTTATACCATGAGGCAAAGATCAATAGCATTATTTTGAATGGAAAATACACAATATTGATTGTTTATGTGTGCTGCTGTTAACTGTGCTGACGTTATTACCAAAGTGTTTACAACTCAGCACTGAAGCCATTAAAATTAATTGCAATTTATTTTCTTAATCATTTTAGTTGTTGCAATTATTCCATAGTTCTCTTGCCATTTTCTCTTAAAACCCTAAACTCCTCTACAACCAAGGACAATACTCTGATCAACAGATCTTGCAGGCAATATGTGTTTCCAGATAGGCTCAAGAGACTGAAAACCAATAAAACTCCCAGGACAGATCAACTGTCAGGGTAGGTAGTACATAGAGAGACAGGAAAAAGATTAGTATTTAGAGACACAGAAATGTTTGTGAAGTACTGACAAATATAATAGTAATAATATTATAAAGAATCCGAACACTTAGAAGGTTCCAATAGACTGGAATCCTGCATCAGGAACAGTAATTGCAACCACCATTGCCCCTGAAGAAATAAAATGAGTTATTATAAAATTATCATTCTGAGTATGTATGGAGCAATATAGCTGGAAAAGGAGTCAAGTTTGCCTGTGGGGTGGGGGGGTGGTGGGGGGGGAGGGGAGTATCTTGCCCACAAGTCTATTGTGGGCAAGATATTAAAATTTATAATAAAGGATGAAATAACTAAACATCTTGAGATGGATAATATGATAAAAACTAAAAAAGTGTGGATTTATGAAAGGAATGTCATGCATGACCAAATTATTGTGTATTTCTGAAGCAGTAACAGATAAGTAGATAAGGAAAATGCAGTGAATGTGGTGTATAAACATATTTAGAAGGCCTTTGCTATAATGCCACTTAAAAGGCTCATGGAGAACATGATCAGGACACATGGAGTCATGGAAGAGGCAGTAGATTGGATTGAAAGATGGATTCAAATTCACAGATGACATCAAACTGGAGGGTGGAAAATAATAATAATTTTACATTTGGTATAGGAAGGATGTTCATATCGGAAGGATGTTCCAAAGCACTTCACAAGATTTACTGTAAAGCGCAGTGACTGTGTGTTTTGTGGGAGAAAATAATAAGGTAAAAGTGAATAAATTGTTCCCACTTGTTGGTGAAACCATCACAAGACAGCATAAATATAAGATAGCCACTAAGAGATCTAAAAGAGATTTTAGGAAGATATTCTTTTCACAGAGGGTGGTGAGAACCTGGAAGTTGTATCAGAGAGCATCTGTACATTTAAGAGAAATGTGATGTATACATGAGATTGAAGGGAGTAGAGGGGTATGGCGGGGGTTGGGGGAATGGTAGGGTAGGGCAGTGAGTGGAACATTATGATGGATGAAGGCTCATTTGGAGTATAAACACCAGCATTGGATCGGGTGACCTGCTTTGGTGCTGTAAATTCCAAGTAATCTATGCAACAGTAGCTCAGGTTTCAAGTATGTTAAAAGCAATTTAAGATGCACACCAGTGTAATCAACAGATAGACCAGGTTATGAAAAACAATCGACATGTTTAAGAAAAGTGATGCTATTTGTTATTCTAGAAGGTTGAGATTAAAACATCCAAAGAGCTTTCTTCACTGAACTGCATGTAATCCATTACTGCTTTGAGTGTAAGTTGACTGATACTCTGACTTTTCTTTTTGCTTTGGATCAACATCATCAGAGACAGCGAACATCACCAGAGACTAGGAATGTATTCCAATTGCGAAAAGAAAACCCCTGCAGTGTCATTGCATGGCAGAATAACCCAGTGCACAAACATAATGAAGGATTGTGGCTGGCTGCTATCCTGTTTTCCCCAAATTATGCATTTTAAAAGCTTCATGGAAAAAGCACCCTTCAATTACAAGATCAATGTATGAATTTATAATAGTTACTTTTAAAATTGTTCAGTTATTTCATACTCCTGTTACCCAAGCACACTGTGCTGAATTATTTAGGTAGTCTGGTAAGAACTTTGGATAAACAAGGTTGCTGTGGTCTTAAAGGTTATGAATAAATTCTGCTTCACGCAATAAGTTTTATAGAAGTAAAAGCATAACAGTGAGCTTTGAATCAATGTATTCAACTAGATAAGAGCTAGTAATCCACAATGACCTTGTTCACTTATGACATAAGATCATAGAATCTACATGGGCCATTCAGCCCATCATGCCTGTGCCATCTCTTTGAAAGAGTTATTCAATTAGTCCGTCTCTCCGCCCTTTATTCCATATATCCTTTCAATTTTTTTCTTTTCAAGTAAATATCCAATTCACTTTTGAAATAGGAGAAAGCCACTATACAGAGACAAATAAGAGTTTGTCTAGAAGATGACACAGCTAAATAAAAGTATTGAAAAGCAATTAAATAATGAGAAATATTAGTCAACAGCCGAATGAATAACTTTACCACCAGAAACAGTTCTCCTACAAAATAAACAAATTCATTCGGATCAATAAAACAGGAAATACTGTATGAAGGAAGCAAAACCAATACCATTGATGTCTTTGACATACAATTTACTTCATGGTAAGGGAATGCAGTTCTGATCACATTTTAACCAAGGCAGGAGATTACATCTTATTTGATAAACAGAAGCTGGTAAAATCTAATCACCAAAAACTTTAAAAGAAAATAAAAAGAACTTCATTCTATCTTAAAGATTTCTATATCTGGTTAGAATATACCATGTGACTAGTTGCTATTGAATGGGAAATACTTTACTTACTTCCTGATGCCCTCTGGAATCTGAACATGTTGCATTGGAATCAGTTCCTCCAGCTCAGTCAGGCTACTGACGTATCTTATCTTACTGCTGAACTTTGAACTGAAGAGAAGCAGTCAAGAGAGTTACTATGTAGATCTGTTATCCACCAAGAGGACAAACATAATATTATTAGCCTCTCCCTGCAATACGCTGTTCAAATTTTTAAAAAACTAGTTTGCTTTATTCCATGTATATTAATTCCCCACTTTTCACACACACCCTTTCTCCGTCTTTCATGTTTATTCAGAATAGCGCGAGTTCAGTATAAATCCTGAAAGGAAAATATAAAAGTAACAAGATAATGAGGTATTACTGTGCAAAAAATATTGATGGCATTTATCCCCATGAAGCACTACCACAGAAAACGATTCTGTACACGAAAAAGATTCAGAATTAATCAATGACTCACTTTATTTGGCGGCGTGTTCTGTAGACTAGCACAAATTGTCAATACCATTGACATCAACAAATTATATTTGGATGACCAAATTTCAAGTGTACTTGAATGCACATAACCCATCCAACTCTCTCAAATCCTGAGTTCCATGATACTATCACAGGTATGGGATGTATTCAGCACAAATTAGCCAGTTATCTTGACCTTTTGAGCAATATCATAATCTGCTGCTGGTCTTCTTCAAAAAAGGTCCTCCCATACTTCATCAATGTGGCCATTGTACTTAGGTGAACATAGACAGTAACATTGAAGTTTTTTTTATTGTGAAGAGGATGGAGGTACCAAAACCAATGCTGATCCTGTCATCTTGACCCAGACCTGTGTTACACCAGGAGTCACTGCATCAGGAATCCAAATCAATTCTCATTCTCTCCCCCGCTCACTTTGGTCTGAATTCTAAGATAATTCACATTCATATTTAAAGCATGTTGAGACATCTCGAATATGTGATAAGACACTGTATCAAATACAAGGATTATTATTATTATTATAATAATGGTAGAACTAATCCCTTAGTATTTTTACTCACATCAGGAACTGACAGCATTAATTATAATAATAATAATCCTTGCATTTGATATAGCGCTTTTCACGTCGGAAGGACGTCCCAAAGTGCTTCACAGAACACACTGTAAAGTGAATTGACTGTAAATTTGTGGGCGAACGCGGCAGCCAATTGCGCACAGCAATGTCCCACAAACAGTCGTAGATTGAAAATGCCAATTTTATTATTGTTTTTGGTTTTGGAGGGATTATTATTAGGCGTATTATCACATTATTGTAAATTCCACTCTGCAATAGCTAAAGATTTCATGCAGTCTGTGGGTGTGCCCTGCCCCTCCAACAGTGTCACAATAGTTGGGCCTGAAACCATCTAGCTTTGAACTTCCCAATTAGCAGTACGCTGGCTTTTCTTTGATTTTTATGTTGAGATCACAATATTACACTCACAGCCAAGGCCTGGAAACTTTACCATCAATCAAAGAATTACCCACTGTGGAGGTTAAGCTATAATCAATGATGATGATGTGCAACTGAATGTGATGGGGACATTTTTCAATGTAATCATGGAGAGAGCTAACAGCCTTAAGCATCGTGATGGAGTTCCACATGTCAGTCAACTGTCCAACTAAATCCAAATCCACTTACAATAGAAAATACAAATTTACACTTATATATTGCCTTTCATGTCAGGATGATGTCCCAAAGCGCTTGTCAGACCTGGCTTGGTACCTGAGCTGGGATGGGAGCTGAGATGGGTAGGGAGGGGAAAGATGACCGAAGGCATGGTCAAAAATGGTCAAGTTCTTGAGATGGACCATTAAAAGAGGTGAGGGAGGGGGCAAGTTGGAAGGACTGCACAACAGAGTTTCAGAGATGAGTGATGATAAGGTAGGGAACATGAAGCAGGATGGTGCTTGCTGCGAAGGGAACAGCTGGGTTGGTACAGTTTGAGGAGGTGGCAGAGATAGAATGGGGCAAGCCCATACAAGGATTTGAAGGCAATGACGAGGATCTTGAACTCGATCTGCTGGGAGAATGGGGAGCCAATGGAGCTGGACAAGGGGAGGGGTGATATGCTCATTCAGCCTAGTGTGGCAAACGACATGGGCTGCAGAGTTCTGGATGGTCTGCAGCTTTTGGAGCAAAGTGTTAGGTCGCCCAGAGAGCCGAGCATTGGGGTAGTCAAACCAAGACCTGATGAAACATAATCCTTGCATTTGATATAGTGCCTTTGGTGTCATTGAGACTTCTCAAAGCTCTTCAAGGAATATATTTTAAAGTGGATTGGCTATGTATTTTGTGGGTGAAACGCGGAAGCCAATTGCTCACAGCAGTGTCCCTCAAACAGGATTGAATAACCAAATTTTTGGGGTCACTCACGCCTTAATAATAATAATAATAATCCTTACATTTGATATAGCGCTTTTCACGTCAGGAGGACGTCCCAAAGCGCTTCACAGAACACTGTAAAGTGAATTGACTGTATATTTGTGGGCGAACGCGGCAGCCAATTGCGCACAGCAATGTCCCACAAACAGTCGTAGATTGAAATGACCAATTTTATTATTGTTTTTGGAGGGGTTATTATTAGGCGTGTGGAGTAAGGAAACTTGACCAAGGTTTCGCCCTGCCTGGAATTGAACTCAGGTCTCTCACTTGCAAAGCGAATGCTCTAACCACTGAGCTACAGGACTCCACATAATACCTTAGCAATATTTACGCACGAGGTGAGGTGAAGATTGGATCTGAACCAACAGTCAACAACACACACACACCCCTAAATATTCCACAAATCAGTAAAGGTTGTGTGCAATTAAACGATGTGAATGTAATAAGTGCCTGGATAAGGGTCTCAGCGGCCAGCAGGAGAGGTGGTAGCAGAGAAGGAAAATATTATGGAGGCAGGGACAAGCTGAGCGAGTCAAAGCATGGATGCGGGGTTTAAAGGACAGTTGGGAATAAAACAAGACATTAAGATTTCACACTAGCTCCTCTTGTGAGGTGGAGTGTGCATCCACACAGTTTGATGCTGTCAATGCCAGAGGCAAGAAGCAATGAATGGAGCCAAAGCTCTGTCCTATTGACATTCAACTGGAGAAAAGTAACTACATATGGATCACTCACATAATGCCTTAAATACTCTAACTTCACTTTGATGGAATTTCTACTTGCAGTGTCAATAAAAATTGTCTAGCCTTTCGAGACATCAACCTGACTCAGTGGTAGCACTCTCACCTCTGAGTTAGAAGGTTGTGTGTTCCAAGCCCCACTTTGGGACTTGATCTCGCATTGTCAAAGATTACACTTAATGAAATTGCAGGGATGTGTGGCATTGTGGAAGTGCCGTTCTTTTTCGGAGATGTTAAACTGAGATCCCGTCTGCTTCTTCAGGGAGACATTAAGGATCCTATGGCATTATTTTAAAAAAGAAGGGAGTTTTTTCCCAGTTGCCAACAATCCCTCCAAAATAAAACTGGTCCTTCACTTCATAACTGTTTTTGAGACATCACTGTGTGCAAATTGACTGCCGCATTCACCCACAAATATTCAGTCACATCACTTCACAGTAAATCCTGTGCAAGGATTAATATTATTACTGTAAGAATAAGTATAAAGATACACAGAGCATATTAAACATGTCTTTTATAAAGGAATATTTTATAAGTGAATATTTAATTTTATACAGTCAGCATCAATAATCTAATTCTCAGTAGCAAATAAAAGAATAACACTTACCTAATGAAAGGCCGAGTAACAGCAAGGATCGCTCTGATAAACCACGATGGATGCACAATTATAAATGATTTCAGGTTCTTCCTCAGCCTGTGTTTAGAAGTTTCCCAATTAGTATAAATTAATTACACTTAAACCAATTGCTGTTCTTAATTACAAAAGGAAAAAAGGTGTTGCTGTTAAAATCCAGTTATGTATTGCAATTTTCATTATTTATATATAAAAAAGGTTTACTCTAATACTTATAATTATTTGTAATTCATTATTTTTTTCTTTTCAAGAAAATCAAGGTTAGATTTGCTAAATTCACAGAGTCACAACCACACAACTGTAAATAAACCACAAGAAAGAAAGAAAAGTAAAACAAAGCCATTGAAGGTAAAATTTTACACATAAATAAAACAAAGTGTTGAAAATTGGTTAGGTTCAAAGTGAAAAGGGCAGTCCATACCGGAGGAGATTCATTTACTGTAATGAGTTTGAATACAAATATTAAAATAAGCATCCAACAAGCCTTTGCTTCACATTGAGAACCAACCAGTTCTGTATTTCAGATGGCCAGACGATTACAGAAAGTTACAAGTTGCATTTCAACAGGTTTTCACTTTATAACTGAATGAATCATTTATAAATTAGGAATCTGAGATTGAAGGGAGGGTTGGAGAGGAATAATCCTTCCCTTAGTGGGTACAATAGCAGTTGATCTGGGTGCTTACAGTAAAGCTTACTCACCTTCTATCTATCATCTGATAGCACCTTTTCATCCAAGTAAATCCTGGCATTCTCCTTCGTGGAGTCGCTCCATTCAGATAAACTATCAGGTAGTCCTCAGCTACCAGGAGCTCCAAAGTACTAATCACATACCTGTCCCCAAAGAGAAAGAGAGCTTTATATTACAGATCTTTACAAATCAGCATTCAGATAGTGATTTCAGCTCTGTCAGATTCATTGAAATAACACTCAAATATCTTATGTTAATAACACATCAAATAAAACACTAACTGGTTTCAACTAAAGCAATGAAGTCAAAAATACAAAACTTACCAATAACAACCGTTTTACAACTTCAGGTCTTTCATGAAGACTGTCAGCTACTACTAGTTTAGAGGCAGCACACATACTGAAATAATGCTCATTGTCATAAGTCAAAATGTAATTATGTTTACTAAAGAAACTGCCAAGTGATAGATGAAGTAATCATCTTTTGAAAAAGTTAATTATATTGCAATATATTGACATACAAGAATGGATAAGGATCAGCACACTAAATATAGGTCACACTTTCTAGAAAACTATTTTGCCACTCATATTTATTCTTTATAGCTATTAGATCTTTTCTAATGTTTAATGCGCTATGACTTTTTGTGTTACTTGGACGGGAAGGGGTTACAACAATAACAACAACAAGATTACAACAACAACAACAACAAGATTCCATTTATAGAGCGCCTTTCACGTCAGGAGGACGTCCCAAGGCGCTGCACAGTTGGGTCATGACCCGAGCAGGGGGGAAATGGTCAGGGTGAGGGGAGGGGAGGGAGAGAGGAGGGGGGAAATGGTCAGGGTGAGGGGAGGGAAGGGAGGGAGCGAGGAGGAGGAAGAGAGTCGAGAGGGGAGCTGAAGGCACGGTCAAAGAGAAAGGTTTTGAGACCGGCCTTGAAGGAGGAAAGGGAGGAACATTTGTACATTTGTACAGTGCCTTTCACATCGGGAGGACGTCCCAAGTACAGCATTTCAGACCCAAGCTGGGATCAGGGCGGGAGATGGGAGGGAAAGGGAAGTGGGGTGGCCAATGGCATGGTCGAAGAGGAGGGTCTTGAGGTGGGACTTGAAGGAGGCTAAGGAGGGGACGAGGCGGAGTGACTGGGGGATGGAATTCCAGAGGTTGGTGGCAGAATGGCTGAAGGCTCTCCCGCCAATGGTGGAGCGGGTGGGTCGGGGGACGTGGAGCAGGCCGGATCCGGCTGAGCGGAGTGAACGGGCGGGTTGGTAGGGGGTTAGGAGGTCGTAGAGGTAGGGTGGGGCGAGGCCATGGAGGGTTTTGTAGGTGAGGACCAGGATCTTGAAATGGATTCTCTGAAGGATAGGGAGCCAGTTGAGTTGGGGAAGAGTGGGGGAGATGGGGTCACGAAGTTTGGTGCGGGAGAGGACATGGGTTGCAGAGTTCTGGATTATCTGCAGCCTGTGGAGGGAGGAGTTGGGAAGGCCGACAAGCAGGACGTTTGCATAGTCGAGCCTGGAGGTGATGAGGGCAGGAACAAGAGTTTCAGCGGCCTGAGGGGTGAGGTAGTGGCGGAGTCAGGCGATGTTATGGAGGTGAGGGAAGGTAGAGCGGGTCATGGCTTGGATGTGGGGGAGAAAAGACAGTGAGGGTTGAATAAGACACCGAGGTTCCTGACTGGCTGGTGAGTTGTAGTGTGCAGCCATGGAGGTTGATGCTGCCAGAGCCTGAGGTGCTGAGGCGCTGGCGTGAGCCAATCAGGAGGGCCTCAGTCTTGTTCACATTCAACTGTAGGAAATGTTATTCTCACTATGGGATTAATAACGACACTAACAAATATATTTTTATTTATGTGTCACTCTTCCCGTAGGATAGCATCTGGGAGTGCTTCACAAGAATGGGGTCAGACACTGAACATGAGGAAAGGGGAAGGTGACCATGAGCCACATCAAAGAGGTGGGATTTAAAAACAGAGCAGGCAAAATGGAGGCAGCTGCAGAGTTTAGAGGCGAAGTAGCTGAAGGCTCAGCCGCCATGCAGCAAGTCCAATTTAGCCAAGTGGAAGGATGCGAGCAGAAGACTGGGTAAGAGAAGATCACAAAGTTAGAGAGATGCTGGAGTGTGAAGGGATTTATAGGTAAGAAACTTGGAAGTTGTTCTGTTTAGAATCCAGGAGGCAGTGAGGCCTAGTGTAGATTGGGATGATGGGCATGCAGAGTTGGGCGAGTGTGACGGTGTGGATGGTGGAGTTTTGGATTAGCTGGAGTTTGTAGATGGTGCAGCTAGGAAAACAATCAATGAGTATATTCGAAAAGTCTAGGCGGGAGGTAAACAAATCATTGAATAAGGTTTTCAGCAGTGATAGGGGTTGAGGAGGTCAATGTGGCAGATGGAGGGAGAAAAGCAATCTCGGTGAGGGACTGAATGTGAGGGAGCGATGTGATGATCAAAATGGACACTACAGTTTTGGATAATGCGGCATTGTGGCATTGCTGGGAAACAACTGTTTTCCCTCCGTTCTGTGATGATATCGGAGTATCTGTCTAATAAACCTAAAACTGACTCTATGTAGCATTTTACTTTCAAATCATCATAAATCCTCGAAGTAATATTGAAAAATTGTGGTAATTGTGGTTCACCTCAAGGCTGGACTATGGGAACTCTCTCCTCGCCGGCCTTCCCAGCACATCCCTCCACAAGCTGCAGGTCATTCAGAACTCTGCAGCTCGTGTACTGTCCCGCACCAGGCTTCGCGACCACATCACTCCCACCCTCACTCGCCTCCACTGGCTCCCCATCCCCCAGAGGATCAAATTCAAGATCCTCACCTTCACCTACAAGGCCATTCACGGCCTTGCTCCCTCCTACCTCTCCGACCTACTATCCCCCTACCTACCTGCCTGTACCCTCCATTCCTCTGGCTCCGGTCTGCTCCACATCCCCCGCCCCAACCGCCCTACCATCGGTGGCCGGGCCTTCAGCCTCTCAGCCCTGAGGCTCTGGAAATCTATCCCCCGGTGCCTTTGCCTTGCCTCCTCCCTTTCCTCCTTCAAGGCCGGTCTCAAGACCTTTCTCTTTGACCGTGCCTTCAGCTCCCCTCTCGACTCTCTACCCTCTCCTCGCTCCCTCCCTTCCCTCCCCTCACCCTGACCATTTCCCCCCTTGCTCGGGTCCTGACCCAACTGTCCAGCGCCTTGGGACGTCCTCCCGACGTGAAAGGCGCTCAATAAATGGAATCTTGTCGTTGTTGTTGTAAAACACCTTTGAAGCAGAGGAGGTTTGGACCTACATTGGACTCATTCCCAATAGGTAATGAATTGAGACTAATGGAATTCATTCAATTAGAGGGAGCAGAGAGTATACTTTCACAAAATTAGGCTTGGCTGGATTCCATCCAGCTTGCACTAAGATATATCTTTCACTCCATTAATGCCAATGATCAAATATTTTAATACCCATTTATAAGTTCTTAAATCTGTTCGCTCCTATTTTACTTCAGTAATATTTTGACTTAGATAAACCAATGTACAATCTAAACTGACTGAATTTGATATAGCGCCTTATCACATCTGTGAGAAATCTTGAAGTGCTTAACAGGATTTTACTCTAAAGTGTAATGAGTATCCATTTTATAGCCAAACGCGACAGCCAATTTGAACAAAACAATGTCCCACAAACAGCCAGGAGATGAATGAACAATTTTATTTGGGGGATTGTTGACCAACACACTTGGAGAAACGCCTTCTCTTTCCAAATAGTGCCATGGAATCTTTAACGTTCACCTGAACAGGCAGATGAGGCAAATCCTCTGTAGGGCCCTTGGCGGCAGACCCCGCTGTCTGTCCAACAGTAGCCACTCTGATTGCCCTATCCCCCATTCTCACCACAAGGCCCATCGGTCTCTGACCCCAAGTGTCAACCTCTCTTCCCTCATCCACATCCCCACCCTTCCTGTCAATCACCCCCTTGTCCTCCTCGTCCCCCACATTTCACCACTAACTGTTCCCTCCGCATTGGCCTACAAATGTCCACTCCCTCTCCAATAAAACTCTCACCATCCAAGACCTGATTGTCAATGAAAAGATCGACATCCTCGCCCTCACCGAAACCTGGGTCACTCCAGGCACCACCTTACCCCGACATTGTCCACACCACCCAGCTGCACCTTCCATCATACCCCACAACCTAACCGCCATGGTGGCGATGTGGCTCTCATCTCCTGAAGATTCCTCAGAAACTTTCCCCTCCTTTGAGCACCTTTCCTTTTATCACCCCCCCCCCCCCCAGCCTTTCCTTCAAAATTCTCCTCGTTTATTAACCACTCGCCCCCACCCCAAGCCCTCCCCACCTTCCTTCCTGGTATCTCCACCCTCCTATCTTCCCTCTCCCTCTGCTCCGAACGCTTCCTCATCCTAGATGACTTCAATCTTCACTTCACTCCCTCCTGCTCTACCACTGCTGACTTCTCTTTCCTCCTCATCCACTCTCCAGGTCCGCGGTCAGCCCCTCAGCCTGATGATCACCCAGACCCTCACTGTCTCGAACCTCACCATCACCGACAAAGATACCTCGGTTACTTTATCTTGGTTACTTCATCTCCCTTAACTCCTCAATCCCTCTCCCCATTGCCACCCAACACCTCCATCTCCTACCAAATCTGGACAAAAATCTTCCCCCCTCCCTCTACACTGCTTTGGAATCATCTGAACGCCTCACCCTCTGGACTTCCTATCCCAATGACCCATCCTCCTCAGTCACTCTGCTCACCAACTCCCTTTCCAGGACTCTCGATGCCCTTGCTCCCCTCACTTCCCAAACTGCCTCCTTCTCACAGAAGTCACTCTGGTACACCAGCCATCTCTGCTCCCTCAAGGCACAGGTGCATGTCACCGAATGCTCATGGCTCAAATCCAACATAACGGTCCATCGGCAGATCTGGCTGGACTTTATCAAAACTTACTGCTCCACTGTCGTCTCTGCCAAATTGTCCCTCTACTACAAGACAATCTTGGAGGCCAAGGACAACCCCAGCTCCTTTTCTCCATCACCAACTGGCCCCTCCGCCCACCCTCTCACATCTCGTCCATCCTATCCTCTAATGGCAACTGCGAGGCAATGCTGAATGTCCTCAAAACCAAAGTCG